TTTTTTTTATTTTTTATTTTTTTGGTCTCCTCCTTGGGGCTTATAGGGCCTCGCTCCACTACTCTCCAAATGTGCAAAATGAGAATGAATCTTCTCCGAGAACATGGAAATATACATTGCCAGATCTTTTGTCTTTTGTGTTTGTGGAGAGTAGCGGAGCAGACGTGAGTCTGAATCCAGATGGAACCACAAGGAACCCAAAAAAAAAAACGAAGCGGGAGGCGGCGCCGTAGCGCTCTAGTCCCGCGACGCGTGAGCTTTAGCGCTAGGGTTTTTCTCGTAAGAACGCGGAGCTCGTCCGCCATGCCCCGGGGCGCTTAGCACGGGGACGACGGGTCGCATAGCTGTCGAGCTTTCCTATGAGCTCGAGCAAGTGTGATATGGGCTTGTCCCTAGGAGAGAGGGAGGAAGGTGGGGCTGTACCGGGTAGAGGAACGGGAGAGATTCATTGAACAGTTATTGAACTTTTCTGAACTGAAGATCGCCGTTCAAGGCGAGCTTCCTATGGGATGGCAGAATAGAAGGCGTATCAAGTACGGCCTATTCGATGACTCACTTGGTCGTCATCCGGAGATGGAGGCGCCAAAGAACCTGTCGTATTATTGATCAGTTACGGGGTACCGGGAGGAGTGAGAAGTGGTCCGAGGGTGCTTCCCAGCAAAGCGCCAGATTTCCTTCTTTGGCAAGTTTGATGCAGACCAGAACCAGCGGCAGGGAACGTCTACAGGATCTACATCAAGAGGTAACGCCCTGCTCACAACAGAGCCCTGCTCACAACAGAGTCTGTCCCTTGGTTCTCGGTGCTTGGCCAGTAGCCAGGGCTTCTTGTCTATCTTCACTTTTGTTCTTCACACGATCACTGTAGCTCGCATGGCTTTCCTTACTCAGACCCCTCGCTTAGGTTTTCGTCTTCATTAGTGCTTTTTTGTCAGATCTACTATCCGCTCAATCCTTCGTCGCGAGGAAACTAAAGTCCCGGTCTTTCTGGTCAGGGACTCGTGCGCTTTCTTTCGCTCCCATGTGTGCCGACCTACGTATTGGCTGTTCCTACTCTATGTTTCTTATCTACATCCACACCCATCCAAGCCAGGGGTCCTCAGGCTACAATCCATGAATAATAAAATCAGGATTATGTCTTGGAATGTCCGGGGCTTGGGTGATGGGAATGGGAAGATGAAGAAAGCAAGGTTGAAAACTTGGATCCATCAACAGAGAGCACAGAATCTGATCATCCTATTACAGGAAACCAAATTGAATCAATCCAAGATTGACAGCCTCGCAGGATGATGGACAGGCCCCCAGTGGTGGTCCCCATCAGATGGTTCCAAAGGAGGGACTGCGGTGTTGGTTCACAAAGACCTGAAGTGCACGGAAGTCGATCACTGGACAGATTCATTTGGAAGATGGATTTGGGTTAAATTGGGGCGTTGTTAGACACTCCTCGGGGACGTGATTCCAAGGATTTTGTCTTCGTTCCACCTGTCCTCGGATATGAAATCGGAAATGAAAATGTGAAAACACTCCGAGGACAAATCATTGGGCTCCGAGGATTTCCCAGCCAAATCGTCCTCGGCTCCAAAGGACCTCGCAAGGTCCTCGCGAGGTCCTTTGGGGCCCAAGGATCCGCGTTTCACGGAGAGGAGAGGCCATGCACGTAGAGAGATGTTACATCCGAGAATTAGGACCGTGGCGGCACCCTATTGGCTGAAAGCCTGAAGCACAAGTTTTTTTCTTGTTTTTTTCCTTTTTTTTATTCTGACATTGCTCCGAGGATGAGTCCTAAAACCGATGCTCCGAGGATGAGTGCAACGAAGACGACAAAAATCCTAAACTTTTCCGAGGATTCATCCTCGGAGCCCGAGGATGCCCCGAGGAGTGTCTGACGACGCCCTTGCTGATTGATCAGGAACACTGTACTTTCCTATCGATGTACATGTCCTCTGATCACAGAGAACGCTCTCTTTTTATGGACTCGATAGATTATATTATCCCCGATTCTCCGAATCTGGTGATTGGTGGGGACTGGAATGTTGCCATTGACCCTGCCTTGGACTCTTCCAATCCTAACATTAATAACACTGATGACCTCGTATCTTAGGACTGCGAAGGCTCATCGCTCCCGGTGATCCCTGTGTGCCTGGTAATTGGCCTCTACAACATCCTGGACTTTCATTAAAACAAAACAAAACAAAACAAAACAAAAAAAAAAAAAAAAAAAAAAACCACTGATGCCCGAAGGATTAAGCAACTTATCCGAGAGCATGATCTTATTGAGGCCTACAGACAGCTGCACCCCAACAAGAAGACCTATACATGGTCCTCTGCCTCAGACGGGTCGTTCCGTCCAAAAGAGGCTGGACTACTGGTTGGTCAGATCTGATGTATGGGATAGGATCCTGGAAACAGAGGTCCAGATGCACCCAATGTCTGATCATAAACCCATTAGTCTAGACATCAGTGCAGCAGAACAAGTAGTAAGTACTAAGAAGAAAGGAGGATCCGTACAGGGTGAACGTGTGCAGTCTGGAAGATGAAGGAGCTAAAGAATGGGTAAGGAGTATTGGGATGGGTGGAAAGCTGAGGATGAGGGGGATGAATCCTTGTGCTGAACGCTCAAGGCATCAGAGAAACTGCAGGCTGGCTGCAACTATTCTCCTTCATAATGGCTAGAGATCGGCTAAGGAAGGCACATTGAATCCTTCGGAAAACACATTGAAGCCATAGGAAGAAGAATAGCATTGACAGACCAACCGACAGATTACTGGATAGAGAAGAAAGAAAGAGTAACAAAAAAAGAAAAAAGGAAAAAAAAGGAAAAATAAAAAAAGAGAAAAGAAATGAAAAAAAACGGCATTACAGGCAGATCTCGAGTGCGAACCTAGGAAAAGAGGTCCCCGGCCTCTCCTGTGTCTACAATTGTCTTACTTTCCTAGGCTACCAGAGTGGCCCGGGGTCACTTGCCCGGCCGGGCCAAAAACAATTAAAAAATAGAAATAAAAATAATAATAATAAAAATGTTATTCTTAATTCCAAATTTGGTGCAGAATTTCGATGTGACCCTGCGGCCAAAGTTGTTCAGTTTATTTTTCTGCATAACATAGTTTTTTTTCGGGTTTTTTAGATTTTTCTATTTTTATCTTTCTTTGGCTGGGACCTTCCCTGGTCCTTGCATGGGCTGGCCACCCGGGCGGCCCGGCTGGTAGCCTAGTTACTTTCCAAAAACAAAAACAAAAACAAAAAAACTACGCAAAGACGGAAGTCCATGTGGCGTAGAATGGATTTCCGTCGACGATGACATGACATGCGGCCTCGCTCCACTACTCAACAAACAAAACACATGCAGCGAGGACAAGAAATAAATGGCCGTCCATGCCACGTTCTGACAGAAGGTTCTCGTGAAAATTGCACATTTGTTGGTGAGTGGTAGAGCGAGGCCCATTAGGGCCGAGGTCCCACTAGCACAGAGGATCGGATCGAATGCCCGAATCTGGATGTGTTTGATGCAGAGATGCAGAAAAGGAGTTCAATCTCCATTTCTTGCACCTCTCTACAAACACGTCCAGATGCAGGCATTCTATCCGATCCTGTTTGCTAGTGGGACCACGCCCTAGGTTGCAAGCGGACGTCCCCAAGTCCGAATCTCGCCTTTTGTTTTTCAATCCCTAGTTCGAATTCTCGTTTTCCTTTTTGTCCCCCAACTTCGAATATGGTTCGGGGGCGAGGGGCAACATGCACAACAACATTGTGTGAAGGGAAGCTGGGGGACAAAAAGGAAAATCAGATTTCGGACTTGGGGACAAAATTGTGAAGGGACGCTGGTCCCGGTTCCCGGCTTGTACATAGAAATCTTCTCATCGGGGAAAAAAAAAAAAACACCATGCAATCCCCCCTTCATATGAGTAAACATACATTTGTAAATAAATAAATAAATAAATAAATAAATAAATAAACGAACATACATGGCAGGGCCGGGGGGCAACATGCAATCCCCCCTTCATTGTGGGGTAGCTATGCTTGCAGGGGGTCCCCTCTATATACCCTTAGGAGTAGTGGTAGGTAGGTGGTGAAAGGTGAAAAAAAGAATTTGAGAGAAGAATGTAGTGTAGTTTTTTTTTCTGAGTGATCTTCTCTCTAGTCTCTACTCTCTACTCATGTCAGTTTCATCTGGGGCGTGGTCCCACTAGCAAAGAGGATCAGATCGAATGTCTGAATTTGGTCGAGGTTATGGAGATGTGCAGGAAATCGAGATTGAACTCCTCTTCTGCATCTCTGCATAAAACACGTCCAGATTCAGGAGCTCGATCCTATCGTTCTTGCTAGTGGGACCTCGGCCCTGGATTCGAACTTGGCTATGTATTTCAACAGCTCATTGAGTCATTGGTGGTGTACCCACTGAGCTGGCCCCGTCAGTAAAAAACAGCTCTTTGCAAAAAAAAAAAAAAAAAAAAAAAAAAAAAAGAGCTAGTTCCATGCCAACCAGTGACTCAAGGGCACTCAATCAATGCTAAGGGCATACTCATCACAGTAGGACTTTTTTTCTACAGAGCTGTGGACGTGATTGCCGTCCGATTCATCCACGTCGGGCAGGAATTGCAGTCAGATTCATCCCGGAAGGGGCAGTAATTGCAGTCAGATGCATTTTGGAAAGGAGAACCGTCTTCCCCCGAACATAACGCACGCTCTTTTTTTTTTTTTTTTCAAAAGCTTGCCTGTGCCGTACCGGGACGATGGTTTTTCTATACATTCATTCATTATCAGGGTGCGTTATGTTCGGGGGAAGACGGTAGTGTGAGTATGGCCTAAGTACGGAAAGCAATAAGCAATAAGGAAGTAAGGAAATAATCGATCCTACTTCCCTTCCCCCCCCCCCCCCCCCCAACTCCACCTCCGAGAAAAAAAAAAAGGAAAAAAAAAAGGTAAAGAGGAAGAGAGTGAGAAAGCGAAGGAAAAAACTACAAGTAAAATAAAAAAAAAAAGCAAGGGAAGGAAAAAACACCTACTGCTGCTTCTCTTCTCCTCCTTTCCTCCTCTTCTTCCTTATTTGCTCCTCCTCTCCTCCTCCTCTTCCTCTCCTCCTCCCTTTGTCTTCCTTCTCCTCCTCTTCCTCATTTGCTCCCCCTCCCCCTCCTCCTCCTCCTCCTTATCATCGTCATCATTAGCAGAAGCAGAAGCAGAAGCAGAAGCAGCCTTCTGGGAAAAAAAACGTCGATGACGTCATCAACTAATTGTGGAGGGCGTCTGCCAGAGGGATGGGTAGATTGCCCCTCCTTCGGAGAACCGTTGGGGCGAATAATACCGTGTAAAGTTCCCCTGGGTGAGGCTTTCAGGGGCTCCTCGATAGAGCCCGGGCGGCTTTTCACCCCTGCAATTCTGCTTCAGGAGCAGAGGGCGCGGTCTAGGACAATTGGACTTGTGGTGGATCTGACGAATACGACAAGATACTACTCGGAGAGGGAGTGGACGTGTCACGGTGTGAAGTATTTGAAGATACCCTGCAGAGGGTGGGGGCAGACACCAGATCCCGACTCTGTTAATCGCTTTGTTTTTGAGCTGCTGCAGTATTTTGCAAGTCCATCGGGAAGAGGGCAAGGGCTAGGAGGAGGAGAAGCAGGAGGAGGAGGAGGAGAAGCAGGAGGAGGAGGAGGAGGAGGAGGGGGAGGAGACGAAT